TGTTCGGTCTGCTGTGTCCGTCGCCCTCTTTGTGTAACGTACTATTGCCGGTAGAAGTGAAGGAAAGGTATTGAAGATTTGTACATTGTATTTAGCGGATGTCTCCGGGGGAGGGGCGGGAACAATAATCCCCGGATAGATATGATGATGACATCCCTGTCCTCAGGAGTCTCCTTTGCGTTGGAAGAGCGGCTCTGTGTTTTGTAGTTACATCGGTCGCTCTCCTAATTATTCCCACTAATTATTCCCACTTTTCTCTCTTTGCAGCCGGTGAAGATGATTTGTCGGTTTCCGATCTTCAGGTCTTCGCTACCATTGCTGCCGCCTGGTCTTTGGCCGAAGCCGATACTCCGGATGGTGCTAAACCAGCGTGTCACCTCGCCTGCTGCCCCGCCGCCGCTCCGCGCGTTCGGCTGTCCCGCAGGACATACAGCTGGACGCCGAAAACAAAGCCGGTAAGCCCATTTGTTGTATTTTGTTTGTTTTTGGGGGTTCAGAAGGTTCCACCAGCATCTGAAAACCCCCAAATTATTGTCTCTTCTATTGCTTCTATGCTTGTCGGCGGTCAATGACTCGCAAGGCCGGGGATATTTAGGTGATAATGGCAGCCCCCAGATTTCGGCAGCTACGGGTATTGTTCCATATTAAAGTGGACTATGACTTTTCAAGTCTGCTGCAGGCAAGAAGAAGCATTTCCTCGGTCTCCCCTCCCCCCAGTGATCAGACTGCTGCAGGCAGGAGGAAGCATTTCCTCAGTCTCCCCTCCCCCAGTTATCAGTCTGCTGCAGGCAGGAGGAAGCATTTTAGACACTTTGTGGCATGTCACAAGGTAAGAGGCTGCAGCAGGGGCTGATCGGTGTCAGACATTTGTGAACAAGAACTGCACAGACACCAGGATTTACAGGGTTTGTGTCATCTCTGAGCCGGCATCTCAGTCCAGGAAGGTAGATGGTGACCCTGGGTGATGCCTGAACAAAGATGGTGCCACAGTTCGGGAGAGAAAAGCAGATGAAGGTATTATTGGGGGGAGAATACATACCTGTGTCAGTGTCATGCCAGGTCCACTCTATGTACTGGGCAGTAAGAGGAAGTGGAACCTGTGACTGTTGGCTCTCTTGCATCGGTATTTTGAATGCAGCGCATATGACGCATTGCTGTCCGACCACGCAGCTGTTTAATGCCCTTTTACCCCACACACAGGTTTGTCCACTCAAGGCCGCCATAGATCACCTGGACACTCAGGAGGTGGAGATGCGGATGAAGTTGGCGGAGATCCAGCGGCAGTACAAGGAGAAGCAGCGGGAGCTCGCCAAACTGCAGAGGCGGCACGACCACGAGTGAGTGAACGCTGTGCGATAGACGCCCGAGACCGACCCTGACGCACAGTGGCGTCACAAGGGGGGGCCCACACCCGGGTGTTACCATTGCAGGGGTGACACCAAAATGACTGACAGTCACCCCCTCTAAAAAGTCGGGCACTCAGTCATGGACAGTGTCAGGAGAGAGGGTGGGGACCCGGCAGCATACCCCATCCCGTCCCCTCCTCTCTCTGCCGGCGCCCATCACCATGATGGCCGCCGGCAGCCGTCAATCAGATGGGTGTGCATGCGTGATGACGACACGGCGGGGGTGTCACCCTGTCACCCTGTCATACAGTCTGGGCGCCGCACACATGAACGTGTCTGGCATCATATCTGTATTGTCTGTTGTGACCTGCTCGACCAGGGGTGGGCAACTCTGGCACGCCGGCTGTTGTGGAACTACAAGTCCCATGAGGCATTGCAAAACTGACAAGCCACAGGCATGACTCCCAGATGCATCATGGGATTTGTAGTTAAAGCGCAGCTGGGGGGCCGGAGTCGCCCACCTCTGCGTCAGACACTTTCTATCATTTTGCTACGTCAAGTCAGAGGTGAATGACAGCGACAATGTAACCATCTGATTGGTTAAAACACCAACACTGACCGGGACTGCACACTGATTTATGATATTAAAGGAGAACTATGGGGTCAGGGTTTTTCCCCCATAGTTCTCCTTAGGTCCCCCCCCCCCTCATCCTGTCTCTCAGCCAATTATTAAATATTGCTGATCAATATTGTGCCTCATCATTTCCTGGCAGTGGGAGGAGCTTTAGGGGCTTCCTTTCAAGTGTTCCTGATTCTCCTTCATGTCCTAAAAAAACACAGAGCTTAGAGGTTCAAGACAGAATTCACACACTCAGGTGAAAGTGTTAGTGCAGTGGCTCCTCCCCCCTCCGTTCAGTCAGAGACAGAGAGTCTGAAGGGAGACGTCTCCTGCTGTCCGGTCTCTTTGGGTAACCCGCAGTGCTGTGGGAATCCTTTTTCCATCCATTGCTTATAATGTTCATGATCTCTGTGTTACATTGTAAAAGATTATATAGTAAACAAAAATGGGTTCGTAACCCTTTTAAAATTTCTAAGGTTCACAAAAATAAAGCAAAACTTAGGTCAGACCTTCTTCTTCTTTTTTAAGGGGTGGTGAAGGGTTACAACATCTGTCAGTGTTTTATTGTGATCTGTCTCTGTGCTGGGGATTTATCCTCTCAATCTGTATTTCTACCGACATTACGGTGACACCAGGACAGGAAGTGAGGGACTGTGGGGGGGCAGGGGTCACAGAGGGCAATAAAAGCTTATCAGAGGTTCTTGTTTTCTTTTTTTCTATGTGTATTAGAAGTTTCATTGCGGTCTCCATCAGAGAGATTCCCCTTCCTGTTCCACTGAACTTGTGTCACTGGTACAGGAAGTGAGGGAGTGTGTGTGTGGGGGGGTTCCCAGAGGGCAATAAAAGCTTATCAAAGGTTCTTTTTTCCCCTAACTGTATTAGAATGTTCATTGCGGTCTCCATCAGAGAGATTTCCCTTTACTTCCTGTTCCACTGACTTCATGTCACTGGTACAGGAAGTGAGGGACTGCGGGGGGGAGGGTCACATGGCTGCGAAGTAACCTAGAGGAAAAAAAAACTAGAACCTTTTGATAAGCTTCTATTGCACTCAGTGACATCCTGTCCCTGTGAACCTCCTGCCCCCCACAGTCCCTCCCTTCCTGTACCAGTGACACGAGGTCAGTGGAACAGGAAGTAAAGGGAAAGCTCTCTGTCGGAGACCGCAATGAACATTCTAATACACTTAGGGAAAAAAAGCCTAGAACCGTTGATGAGCTTTTATTGCAAAGTGTATTGGAACGTTCGTTGCAGTCTCCATCAGAGAGATTTCTCTTTACGTCCTATTCCACTGACCTTGTGTCACCAGTACACGAAGTGCGGGACTGTGTGGGCTGGCAGCGGGTCACAGGGACAGGAAGTCACTGAGTGCAATAAAAGCTCATCAAAGGTTCTAGTTTTTTGTGTATTAGATCGATCGTTGCAGTTCCCATCAGAGAGATTTCTCTTTACTTCCTGTTTCGTTGACCTCTTGTCACCAGTACAGGAAGTGAGGGACTGTGGGGAGGAGGGATCACAGGGACAGGAAGTCACAGAGTGCAATAAAAGCTTATCAAATGTTCTAGTTTTTTTTTTCTAAGTGTATTGGAACGGTTGTTGCGGTCTCCATCGGAGAGATTTCCCTTTTTACTTCCTGTTCCACTGACCTCGTGTCACCATTACAGGAAGTGAGAGTTAATCTCCTCAATGGTGACACGGACTGCAATTCAAAAACCAGACAGACATTGTAACCCAAAAGAAAACCCTTTTTGGATGCAGATCTCGGAGCTCTTCCTGATCTTCCGTTCTCCCCGCAGGAAGGAGGAGATCTCCAGAAGCCCCGTGCGGAGAGGACCGGGACGGCCCAGGAAACGGCCGCACTGTCGCGCCCCCTCCTCGCACCGGCTGTACGAGAGCAAGAAAGCGAAGTAAGTGGCCCCAGGGCCCCCCTTTTCCTATAATGCTGATGGGTGGGGGAGAGCAGACTCTGGGCCGCCAGGATTGCTGAGAGCCGCGTTTGCCGACCACAATGTAAATATTGCATGGCTGTATGTTCCCCTCTCCGGGGCCCCCGGGGGCCAATGAGCAGCCGGCGTTCTGCTTTCCTTTTCATCATGAGAGATGCGCGCCGTTTATTTATTTTTTGCGCACGCTTTGTGTTTTGTGGATAATATGTT